GTAGAGACGGGCCAGAACATTCCTTTAGGCTGTTTTCCATTTTGACTCCATCCATACCCAGTTCCTTGAACCTTTAATAAGGCAAGTAATGCAAAAAAAAAAAAGCAACTTAGCAGTATTGTAAGTGATGCTATGGTGAAGTCCAGGTTAAAGATCCCAGAGGTCACAGACAGGGGGTTGAGAGATGTGGAACAATTTCTAGAAGGAACTCTTATTCCAACATAAGCATGGCTGCCAGTGACTACCTTTTGAAAGGAACATGAACCATGACTTGAGACCTGTAATTAGCCTGGAATAATTAAGATTGCAGGACTCATATCTTTCCCCCCTTCATTTTCTGCTGTACTGCATGGAATGTGAACTATTTTAACATTCTTAACAAGCCTTCTTTCCTAAAAGTAAACCTAAATAGTTGGCAGGATATACAGTAAAAGCACTTCCCTTGAATTTTAAACTGATAGCACATGCTGCTTTTAAGTTTTATTCAACTCAGTATGTTGAGCAATTTATCTGTTAAGGGAAGAGCTGAATTTCAGTTAAACCCTGAACTATCTTAACCACAAAAATATTGCTTTGCTAAATAAACCAAAGAATTGTTCAGACAAGCAGCCAGACCATGCTCCCTTTTAGAAAGAAATATGAATGTCCTGCTTTAGGGGGAAAAAGTGAGGCACCATTTTATTTTAAATAGTCACACTGGAGGAACCACTGATAATCAGCATTTTCTTTCATCAGGAAATAGTTAAGAAAACTAGATGTTCACAGGGTTAGAAGTCAGGGATCAGCAGAGAAAAAAGATAGTTTAGGGGATACAGAAACCCCTCTGCTAGGTGGTATTAAAATAATGTTTCATTTTAACTTCCTCTAAATCCAGGCAAAGGGGTGGTGACTAAAGAAAAAAAATGTTACCTAACATACAAAACAGGGTGACACTGCTCTACATTGGTGAGGAAGGTTAAAGTTGATGGCTAGGGAGCACACAAAAAGGCCAGCGAACACTAGCTCAAGCCTGCTCTACTGTGAAAGCTTTAACTGGGGCTTTCCAGGTAATCTGTACACTGTATATGGCTTTTCACTCCTATTCTTGCCAAATGTACGAGAATTATGACATTGGTACAATAATTCTAACTCCTGTACAATGCATGATCAATAATGGTAAGTGTTCAAGATGCGCGATAAATTTGGAGGCAACTAACTGATGCAGCATATGCAAAACCCAAGCCACTACCAGCGTTGCCAACTCTCATGATTTTTGGCATTGTTCTTAAAAGTCTACGCTTTGGGAATCTGAAAAACGTAGCAATATACACATACACCTATATACACACACAGAGCATACATACATATATAAACTTAGTTCTTTTGTTTGTATATGTGTATGTGTGTGCATGTGTATGTGGGCACGTGTGCATGAGCGTGTGTAAAAAGGAAGAGCTAAGTTTTTCAGATTCCTAAAGCAAGACTTCAAGAACAACACCAAAAATCATGGGAGCTGGCAACGCTGCACTCCCAGGGAGTCTCAACTAACTTGGGGTTTGCTATCAGGACTTTATTACGCTTCAAAATAAAGAAATGCTTCAACTCGAATGACCCAGTTCTCACTCACGCACTGGCGAGCAACCAAAAAATTAAAGAAAACGTATTTGCACACTTCTTTGCATACTTGTTTGCATATTTTTTTCCAGTGAACACAATCCTTATAAGAGGAGAATCTTGGACGCTCAAATTTAAGACTTGGTCACGTTGTCTCCTTCCAACAAGCAGGCAAGTGCTTTGGAGCATGGTAGAAATTGTGTGTACATCCCCCCCTTTACACACACACACACGTGCACATGCATAAGCAGTTTGGAGCGTGGCGGAAGTTGTGTACACCCCCCATCACACACACACGCTTTGGAGCACAGCACAAGATGTGTACACACCATGTGCTTTGGAGCATGGCAGAAGTTGTGTGTAGCTCCTCCTTTACACACACACCCAAGCGCTTTGGAGCATATCACCCCCCTTTACACACATGCGCTTTGCAGTGTTGCACAAGTTGTGCATACACCCTTTACACACATGCGCTTTGCAGTGTTGCACAAGTTGTGCATACACCCCCCCTTTACACACACAAGCGCTTTGCAGCGTGGCACAAATTGTGTGTACAACCCACCACACACACGCACACACACACGCACACACACACACACGCACACACACACACGACTGAGACAATAGCGCCCCGCCCAGGGCGCTGCCCTCTCCCAGGCGAGCCGGGCGGGCCCCGCACCCACGCACGCCTCTTGCACAAGCCCCGGGCGGGTCCCACGGGGGAGGCCGGATTCTCTGGCACGCACACACCGAGGGGGGAG